CTGGCCACCCCAAGAGTGAATTCAGTCTTGTTTTTGGGTGACGTAAGCCGCCAATTGGTTGGCCTAGTTTTGTCCAGGTGTCTGGCACTGGCTGTTTTGTCGTAATCTAGCAAGTTTTGCCACAGGGCCGTAATTGTGCTCATTTCAAAAGGAGACATGAAAAGAAACCACTGAAGAGCAAGAATTAGGAATCACTAAAAGGGCCATCTTATTGCAATCAATTTTTTAACATTACCTATAGAACTTTAGCTTGTTGACCTGTAGACACGGCAGACTCAACAGAACTCAACTGCGACGAGGATGGGATTCGAACCCACGTGTGCAGAGCACAATGGATTAGCAGTCCATCGCCTTAACCACTCGGCCACCTCGTCTTTGGCAGCCTGTTTTCAAAGGGACCGCCGGACGCGCTGTCCTGACAAAGCAAACAAAGTTGAGCACATGTCAGCTTGGCACACAAGTCATTGAGCAAGTCTACAAGGGGAATTAGCTCAAATGGTAGAGCGCTCGCTTAGCATGCGAGAGGTAGCGGGATCGATGCCCGCATTCTCCACAAGGCTTTAGTTTCCTCTGTTCTGTCGATGAGTCAGTGACTGAAAGACGTTAAATGGATGGTAATGGTCTTCTTAGTCCTTCATACCGCTGCCTGAAAGCCTACTTAGTTGCATTGCTCTCTCTGCCTTGTGGTGCACTGTACGTGTGTTCTTCTTCCAGCGGCTGTGGACGGTAACTGGAGTTAGTGCCCCAGCCACCACTGGGCAAGTTAATTCCCTGCAAAACCAGCTTGTCGTCCGCTCTGCGCTTGTACCTCTGCTTAACAGCGTTCTTATTCACCTCCACCAACTGCAGGCAAGTGCTCCTTATTACTGTTCCATTATTTGAAACCACCTTCTTTGGATTTCTATGATTGTTTCAAGCACACACAGCCCTGTGGAGGGAAGCGCACTTCTCTTCAGGCTGGCCACCCCAAGAGTGAATTCAGTCTTGTTTTTGGGTGACGTAAGCCGCCAATTGGTTGGCCTAGTTTTGTCCAGGTGTCTGGCACTGGCTGTTTTGTCGTAATCTAGCAAGTTTTGCCACAGGGCCGTAATTGTGCTCATTTCAAAAGGAGACATGAAAAGAAACCACTGAAGAGCAAGAATTAGGAATCACTAAAAGGGCCATCTTATTGCAATCAATTTTTTAACATTACCTATAGAACTTTAGCTTGTTGACCTGTAGACTCAACATAACTCAACTGCGACGAGGATGGGATTCGAACCCACGCGTGCAGAGCACAATGGATTAGCAGTCCATCGCCTTAACCACTCGGCCACCTCGTCTTTGGCAGCCTGTTTTCAAAGGGACCGCCGGACGCGCTGTCCTGACAAAGCAAACAAAGTTGAGCACATGTCAGCTTGGCACACAAGTCATTGAGCAAGTCTACAAGGGGAATTAGCTCAAATGGTAGAGCGCTCGCTTAGCATGCGAGAGGTAGCGGGATCGATGCCCGCATTCTCCACAAGGCTTTAGTTTCCTCTGTTCTGTCGATGAGTCAGTGACTGAAAGACGTTAAATGGATGGACAAACTTCACTCGGATGGTGATGGTCTTCTTAGTCCTTCATACCGCTGCCTGAAAGCCTACTTAGTTGCATTGCTCTCTCTGCCTTGTGGTGCACTGTACGTGTGTTCTTCTTCCAGCGGCTGTGGACGGTAACTGGAGTTAGTGCCCCAGCCACCACTGGGCAAGTTAATTCCCTGCAAAACCAGCTTGTCGTCCGCTCTGCGCTTGTACCTCTGCTTAACAGCGTTCTTATTCACCTCCACCAACTGCAGGCAAGTGCTCCTTATTACTATTCCATTATTTGAAACCACCTTCTTTGGATTTCTATGATTGTTTCAAGCACACACAGCCCTGTGGAGGGAAGCGCACTTCTCTTCAGGCTGGCCACCCCAAGAGTGAATTCAGTCTTGTTTTTGGGTGACGTAAGCCGCCAATTGGTTGGCCTAGTTTTGTCCAGGTGTCTGGCACTGGCTGTTTTGTCGTAATCTAGCAAGTTTTGCCACAGGGCCGTAATTGTGCTCATTTCAAAAGGAGACATGAAAAGAAACCACTGAAGAGCAAGAATTAGGAATCACTAAAAGGGCCATCTTATTGCAATCAATTTTTTAACATTACCTATAGAACTTTAGCTTGTTGATCTGTAGACACGGGAGACTCAACATAACTCAACTGCGACGAGGATGGGATTCGAACCCACGCGTGCAGAGCACAATGGATTAGCAGTCCATCGCCTTAACCACTCGGCCACCACGTCTTTGGCAGCCTGTTTTCAAAGGGACCGCCGGACGCGCTGTCCTGACAAAGCAAACAAAGTTGAGCACATGTCAGCTTGGCACACAAGTCATTGAGCAAGTCTACAAGGGGAATTAGCTCAAATGGTAGAGCGCTCGCTGCGCAAAGGAAGGGAGCCAATCTTTCCGCCCCCTCACGCAAGTGAAAAATACTGAATAATGTAATAACAGATATATTTTCCCCTGCAACAACATCCAGGTGATATCCCTGTGCGTTGTGACCGATTTCGAGCTATATGTTTATCGAGTCACCCGCCGTAGCTGGATTCGAACCTGCGGTCTGCCGGACAAGGTGCGTTCTAGATTTAAATGCCCAAGCTATGCCGCCCCTTAGTGGTCAGAAATCCCATAGTTATTTCACGTCATTGCATTGATTAATACTTATTATTTTCGTGTGTATTATTAAGAGCATTGCTTTAGCTTTAAGATATATGCCCCTCAATGACTAGTAATGTTTATATCTATCTATCACTTATATGTATATTACTATTACTGCTTTGGGTTTAAGATCATATGGACCCCAATGACTTGTGATGTTTATTTCTGTTTCTGTTAAAAGAATGATAACAATAAAATGTGCCTTCAAAGACTGTGGGACAATATGGAGCTTTTTGCTTTAGCTTTAAGAGATATGCCCCCCAATGCCTAGTAATGTTTATATTTATCTATCTATCTATCTATAATAATAAAGTGTGCCATAGCAATTTCATGTCATTGTATTGATTAATACTTATTATTTTGTGCTTATTATGAAGATTACTGCTTTGGGTTTAAGATCATATGGACCCCAATGACTTGTGATGTTTATTTCTGTTTCTGTTAAAAGAATGATAACAATAAAATATGCCTTCAAAGACTGTGGGACAATATGGAGCTTTTTTGATGATGCACAGGCTGAGTCTTAAATGTTGGTATAATCAGATTTAATGTATCTGAACACAAGATGTAAAATAAACAAGTATTGAAATGAAAACACACTCTTCAGATTATCACTATATAAAACTATATACATACAGGGAACTATACACGCAAACACACAATATAAAATATATACAAGCAAAACATTGATAAAAACTTATGTAAAATAAACAAGTATTGAAATGAAAACACACTCTTCAGATTATCACTATATAAAACTATATACATACAGGGAACTATACACGCAAACACACAATATAAAATATATACAAGCAAAACATAGTTAAAAACTTATTTTTCTGCTCTCTGTTCTGCCAACCACTCTTCAAGAGATTTGCCATTTGAGGCACGTGAGCAGAAGGTGGCACTGCCATGACGACTGTGCCCAAACTCCTTTGTCTTGGGCTGCCCACAATGGCTACAGGTATTGTAGGTGACCCCTCTCGCATATTTCCTCTTGTGGACTCCACTCTCCTCCTCAAGGGCCCGCTGGCGCCTGTTCCTGTGCGTGAACCGGGACACAGGAGTAGCAGGTGCAGGAACAAGTGGAGCTGGGCCTGCACTGGATGTTGAGGCACCAGAAGCTGGCAGTACGCAGGCCACAGTGTTGTCTGGGTTGAGGATGCAAATCCCTACCCTAGGCAACATCCCAGGAGCTGCAATGGGCTGTGCAATGTCTGGTGCCGTGGGGGCAGGTGCGATGGGGCACTCCCTGGTGGCAGCAGCTGGCCGTCGGCCTGGCCGCAAAACAGGAGCCTGCCCTTCCAGATTTGGAGGGAGGACAAATTCATGCCGTGGGCCTGATGCTGAAGGAAGGAGCTGCAGTCGTTCCTTCGGTGGTGGAAGCTGGTCAGGTGCCACAGGAATCAGGTTGGTTGGAGCCATTCCCTGAGAAAGGATACTCATCTCCTGGCTCTTCAGCCTCCGTTGAAACCTGAGAGAAGATCATTTGTGTTAGATATTTATTCATTAGAGAACTATTCAGTCAATTTGAGGTAAATGATGTGCCTGACCTACCATTGAATGAGTGTCCGCTGATTAAGCTCAAACAGCTGGATCATTGTCTCCACCATAACCCTTGGACTGTTGAGCACTAAGTCCCGGATGTGGTGATAGTCGCCGAGAATTTTAGACCATCTGGGGGTGGACAATCCAGCCTTCTTGGTGGTTTTCTTGTGCAAAGTGCACAGCCTTATGCACATGGCCTCAACCAAGCGGCTGGTGTTGGGCCACTGAGCTGGCCCCCCAGGATGTCCTATCAAGCAGCGCTTCACGCTCTCCACACCCGGCGTGACTCCAGACCGCTTGGGAGCCTTAAAACGGCCACTTGTCAGTCGCTGCTGATGACGAGGCTGGTAGTCGACCCGCTCCTTGTCGCCTTCAGGGAGAGCTGTCCACAGCTGGATGACCTGGATCACCTGCAGCTCAGTGAGGTAAGACACCTCACGGAGACCCACCAGGTAAGCAGCGAGATCCTGGACCTTGTCCCACCCAGCGATCCCATCCGGTCCAATGACTGCTCCCTAATAAATGGATTGATTAATAGTAATAAATGGGAAATAAAATGTCTTTGAGATTGGATTGAAATAGCCGTTAAAGTGTCTTACCTGAGCCTCGTCGGACAGATTATTTTCACTCTCCCGTGTAGCCTCAGAGGTGTCAGGCAGCACTGAAGGGGCAGCAGCAGGATGTTGTCCTCCATCACGTGACGTGGACGGCAGATCAGCAGGTGATGCAGGGGCCTGAGGTGGAGGGGCCTGAGGTGGAGGGGCCTGAGGTGGAGGGGCCTGAGGACTCAACGGTGAGGGCCTGTTCTCCAGATGACGGCAGGGGTCATCCTCCTCGAGCACAGGAACTGTGATGTCCTCTGTGATCTCTTCTGCAAATCCCTCATCTTGTACGTCCTCATCACTGACTTCCTCCACCAGCCTGTCCTCCTCCTCTGGGTTCTGGAGCACTGGAGTCAGTGTTTTGCCGGTCTGGTTGTACAAGTACTCCATTCCCAGCAATTCACCTACAAAAACAAAACAGAAAAAAGGAAGTATTCTTAATATGTTTAAGCAATATAGCACTCGTGATCGCGGGGTTGGTAATGGATAATCCACCGGTGTTGTTCGGCCGTAGGCACGAGCGCAGGTAACAACACCGGTGGATTATCCATTACCAACCCCACGATCACAAGTGCTATATTGCTTTTATACAACAATTCTACTGCCAACTAACTAACATTAAAACAGTGTGTCAGAGTGGGGATGTCCCGGGGATCAGAAACAAATAATTCCACAGAACCCAATTGCTGTATAATATATAATACTTTAAAGGTTAAATGGATTAATAAATAGTGTTATTAAAGAACAAATTAATTAAGTTATTCTTTCTCATGTTGGATGAGGGATCATTTCTTACCTGTGTACGCTCCAGGGGTGCGATAGCGCTCATCCCAGCGTCTCCCTAGCACCTTTCGGCTGAGCTGATCCACTGCCTCTCTCAGAGCGCTGCCATAAGAGCGGATGGAAGGTACTCCTTTTACGGCGTCCTCCATCCGGTCATCATTCCAGCGCATCAGCCCTTCAAGAAGATACGCCTGGAAATGTGCATCACTGGCACTGGTTCCTGAAGGTTAAATAAACAAAGAAGCGTTTGTCACAATTGAACAAGATATTCACTACGTATGAGATGCTATGAAGAATCTGTAACATGTAATAGGGCTGTAATATTAGAAATATCAGAAACTAGTAACCCATATGTATGCAATACCTGGAATAAATCTGTTTAGGTGGAGGTGGAAGGACTCCAGGGAGGTAGAGCCACGGGCACACCTGTAGCAGCACAGCTCCACACCTCCTTTCTTCAGGGTGCCTGTCTTGATGTAGAGCAGGAAGTCCTCTGGGTCTTGGATACAGCCCACGTGTTTCTCCTGCTCCTGCCATATCTGCTGGATGCGTTCGTGGTCCAGCAGAGGAACGCCCAGAGTGTCCTTCCCACTTGCACCGTCAAACAGACCGATCAGTGACCCAATCAGCCTGATGGTCTCCTCCACCCCTCTGGTCTTCCTCCTGCAGTGCAGCGCCAACTCCCTCCGGGTGATGCGAGTGGTCACCGCCTCCTCGGAGATGTGGCCAATCCTCCTTGCTGCCAGCTCACCCTCCTTGGCGCGGCGAAGAGCAGCAACATCCTCCGGATCCCACTCAAATATGCACGTGGACAGGCGTGCCATAAAAATGCCGTACAGAGGGTGAGCCTCTGTTGTGACGCCTGCAGCAAACCGGCGCATGAAATGCCATATATCAAGGCGCACTTGAAGCCCGTCCCACTCTGAAAACATGGCCTTCACCCGACAAGGGCCATGCTGACTGCAGCAGTCTCTGTCCACGTACAAGATTTTGGGTGCCACCTCTCCTGCCTCCCTGTACCGCTTCATCAGGCCAGCAGCCATAGCGTCCAGTGCTTGTCCCTCACCGGCTGTCAGGACTGAGACAAGAACTTGACCGTGCTCATTTCCCACATTGGTGCACCAGGCAGCTGTACCTGCAGCAGCACCAGCAAGTTTCTTGGTGACCTTTTTTGTGGAGTCCATCTTGAGGACAGAGCCAAAGATGGAGGTTATTTTGGCCTTCACCTCATGCAGTCGCCCTAGAACATCCCTGGCATACACAGCTAACAGCCACTTAGGCTTGGGAAGGGCAGATAAGAGGGGAGGCTCAGCGAAAGCAGGGGGGCGCACAACAGAAAACCTTGTGAATGGTTCACAAGCTGTCAGGTACTGCAGGACACGCTGCGTCCATGCTTCGCTGTGTTGTTCCAGCAGCTTTTTGTACAGCTGAGTCACACTGTTGCCCATTGTCCTCTCCCTCATCATTCTCAGCACCCGGATGTCACAAGAGTATCTAAGGAAAGAAGAGTGTAATGTCTAAAAAATAACACAAACAACACAAATAAAAGCACCTAATAATTGACATCCATTATGAATTACCTGTATGTTAGCAACGCTGGAAACTGGCTGCGGTGGCCCATATCCAGCTGTGATAAGATGTCCTCGGACCAAGCAGGATACTTTTTTGAGCAGCGTTTGCACTCCAGGTACTCAGTGGCAAGGTCATACCACCCGTCAATGTCCAACACCTTGCGCACTGTTCGGTACAGTCCTGCTGCTGTTAGTCGGTGCTTGCCACAGGCTGGACGAACACAGACAACAGGAAACAGCCACATCTTATGGGGCATCCATAAGAACAGCGGCCGACAGAAGAAGTGGTCAGGTGAGGCGGGAGGCTGGGTGTGAATGAGGAGGGGCTGAGGTGGATGCCACCAAAGTTTCAGCTGGGCCACTAGCTCTGGCTTGCCGGTTCGTGGGTTGGCCTTGAACAATGTGTGCCGAATCCACTCTTGCTGGAAAGGTGGAAGCTGATCCTTCCAGTGACTGGGAAGCTCAGCTGGTGGCTGATGAACAAGAAGACCTGGTATCGCTACTGGAGGGGGATCGGCACAGGCCTCCAGATGCACAGTGGTTGCAAGAGCTAATGAAGGAGAGATGAAGCAAACAGGCAGCAAAACAATATTAGGTTGACTGTTGCATTTGATAGTTATATGCCATAAATGCAGCTCACAAACAGGCACAGTGCAGAAATACAACAGAAAGAAACAGCAAAGAACCCAGTGTACACTTCTTTTAAGAAGTGCACTCAAAGAATGCATTCCGGTTGATGTGATATAATTCTGCACTGTGAAGAAAAATATCTAAAATGTAGAAATTTTCCACAATATAATATTTCCTAGCGCTCATTAAACACTTTCACAATATTTGCATTTGTGTCATATGCCACACCTGTATCTAGCTGTGCTTCACATTGCGATGCAGCAGATACCAGTTCCTCATCATCAGCCTCAGAAGTCCCTGGAGAACAAATGTTAAAACTATTAGGCTTACTTTTAATACACAGAGACAAATGTATGCAAGATGGTGCATACTTACAAGTAGGGAAAAGCTGCCGGTGGGCCATGTGTTCGGTCGGGGGTTTTGCAGCTGGAGTTAAGGTGCACCGCGGTGCTGGAGCTGGAAAAAAGTGGACAAGTCTGTGTAGTCAGGTAAATGGTAAAGCTATACATGTAGAACTGCTGTAGGGGAAATTCAAAATTCACACTCCTACTCACAGGGTTTAACTGGTGACATCAGCTTTCTGGCCAGCTGTGAGGGAGACATCTTTTTGCCACGTGCCAGCAGCGCTTTCACAGTGGCAGGCTTCCATGTGCCCGTTTGGATTCCTGCAGGTTGAGGTGCAGAGGCGCTGGAGGCTGCAGGTGTAGGTGCAGAGGCACTGGAGGCTGCAGGTGTAGGTGCAGAGGCTCTGGAGGCTGCAGGTGTAGGTGCAGAGGCTCTGGAGGCTGCAGGTGTAGGTGCAGAGGCGCTGGAGGCTGCAGGTGGAGGTGCAGAGGCTCTGGAGGCTGCAGGTGGAGGTGCAGAGGCTCTGGAGGCTGCAGGTGGAGGTGCAGAGGCTCTGGAGGCTGCAGGTGGAGGTGCAGAGGCTCTGGAGGCAGATGTGCGTCTCTTCAAGACATATGCCTTGAAAATGGCCATGTTGGTGTTGGGCCGGGCATCTGCTTTAACCAGGTACTTGATGAGGGCCTGGGCCTCTTTGCTCTGGTCCTCATAAACCTCCTTCATGGAGCGGCCCTGGAATTCTCCGAACTCCACCATCAAACAGCCCTGGTCTCCAGTTTCCCGCGCTTTAGCCTGCATTTCCTGCTTCTTCCTAAACTTCTCCAGTTCCTCTGTCATCTCTCTGATGCGAGAAGTGTACTGCTGGAACAGCTGTTTATTCTCTGACAGAGGGTTTGCCTGCACTGTTTCCCTAGCAATACTATGCACTAAATACACTGCATAGCCAAGACTGTTCTCCAGGAGCCATCTAAATCTCTGGCCCTGGTACATGCCAAACTGAAGCTTGCAGTGAGCCAGTACTAAAAACCTGTCAGTGGGGTCTCCACTGTGGCCAGTGACAAAAGTAGTGGCCTCTGCCAGCACCTCCTCTTTGGGTTTAGCCCTTCCAGACTTCCCACTTTCCACTTTCTTTGCCTCCTCCGACGGCGCCATGAGAAGTCTGGTCGACCCGGCTGACTGGCGGCGAAAAACTGGGTAGGCATACATCTTCTGAATGAAAATAAGAAAAAGACTGTTACCTCTAGTCATCTGAAAGATACCTGCATGTAAGTGTGTACAGTCCACTGTATATTCAACTGTACCACAGGTTGCCTGCCCCCAGGGCTAAATCATTGTTTGTCTGTGGGCATTATTTATTTTAAATGAGGGGAGGCAACCTCTGTTACAGTGTATCTAACGTCACAACATTGGTACCATTCATACAGCTAAAACTAATGACATTATTTATTGTAAGTATGCTGCCTTCCTGCTGCTTTCCTAGTTTGCAGGACTAGACAGCTAACACTGGTCTCAGTAATGTGATGGGATTTCAGTTCATGGGTTTCATCAGGTCCCTTTCCACAGGTGTATTAATCAAGCACCATGCAGTCTGCATTCATAATCTAGGTGCTTGATGGTATACACCTGTGGAAGAGGACCTGATAAAACCCATTAATAATCCACAAGGAGTGCTTTGTTAATTTCTTTTACTGAAGTTTCCAGCAATAAGATAAGTATTGAAATGAAAACACACACTCCAGCAATACAGGAGACTGAGACTCGTTTTTGGTTGTACACAAACAGAAATAAAATACAAACATTTCTCATAAAATAAATATTATGCATTTGTGTCTGATAAAATCAAAAGCTGGTTGGATCTGTCATTATTCACATGAATGGATTTAGCGATACATTAACATTAACAGTAATGTTAATGTACGATAGCTAGTATTAACATAATGCTAGCTATCGTACATTAACATCACTGTTACTGTTAGCTATCTGAAATGACAACACCTAGGGATGAAGCAGAAAATGTGTCCGATAATGCTACATCACGTCTAAAAAGTATATCTTACCTTAAGATTGATAAATAGATGAAAACACCAATGCGATTGGGCAGTATCCGATAGCTGACACTGATAACACTAGCGTACCGAACGCCGACAAGCAAGCCACAGGGAGGACGAACGTGATTGGTCAAAAGTAAGCCCAATGTAAGCCCAGGGGAGAAACGTGATTGGTCAAAAGTAAGCCCAATGTAAGCCCAGGGGAGAAACGTGATTGGCTAATTTGGGCTTACTTTGGGCTTACTTTGGCGAAATTGACAAGAAGTAGTAAGCGCAATGCGAGAGGTAGCGGGATCGATGCCCGCATTCTCCACAAGGCTTTAGTTTCCTCTGTTCTGTCGATGAGTCAGTGACTGAAAGACGTTAAATGGATGGACAAACTTCACTCGGATGGTGATGGTCTTCTTAGTCCTTCATACCGCTGCCTGAAAGCCTACTTAGTTGCATTGCTCTCTCTGCCTTGTGGTGCACTGTACGTGTGTTCTTCTTCCAGCGGCTGTGGACGGTAACTGGAGTTAGTGCCCCAGCCACCACTGGGCAAGTTAATTCCCTGCAAAACCAGCTTGTCGTCCGCTCTGCGCTTGTACCTCTGCTTAACAGCGTTCTTATTCACCTCCACCAACTGCAGGCAAGTGCTCCTTATTACTATTCCATTATTTGAAACCACCTTCTTTGGATTTCTATGATTGTTTCAAGCACACACAGCCCTGTGGAGGGAAGCGCACTTCTCTTCAGGCTGGCCACCCCAAGAGTGAATTCAGTCTTGTTTTTGGGTGACGTAAGCCGCCAATTGGTTGGCCTAGTTTTGTCCAGGTGTCTGGCACTGGCTGTTTTGTCGTAATCTAGCAAGTTTTGCCACAGGGCCGTAATTGTGCTCATTTCAAAAGGAGACATGAAAAGAAACCACTGAAGAGCAAGAATTAGGAATCACTAAAAGGGCCATCTTATTGCAATCAATTTTTTAACATTACCTATAGAACTTTAGCTTGTTGACCTGTAGACACGGCAGACTCAACATAACTCAACTGCGACGAGGATGGGATTCGAACCCACGCGTGCAGAGCACAATGGATTAGCAGTCCATCGCCTTAACCACTCGGCCACCTCGTCTTTGGCAGCCTGTTTTCAAAGGGACCGCCGGACGCGCTGTCCTGACAAAGCAAACAAAGTTGAGCACATGTCAGCTTGGCACACAAGTCATTGAGCAAGTCTACAAGGGGAATTAGCTCAAATGGTAGAGCGCTCGCTTAGCATGCGAGAGGTAGCGGGATCGATGCCCGCATTCTCCACAAGGCTTTAGTTTCCTCTGTTCTGTCGATGAGTCAGTGACTGAAAGACGTTAAATGGATGGACAAACTTCACTCGGATGGTGATGGTCTTCTTAGTCCTTCATACCGCTGCCTGAAAGCCTACTTAGTTGCATTGCTCTCTCTGCCTTGTGGTGCACTGTACGTGTGTTCTTCTTCCAGCGGCTGTGGACGGTAACTGGAGTTAGTGCCCCAGCCACCACTGGGCAAGTTAATTCCCTGCAAAACCAGCTTGTCGTCCGCTCTGCGCTTGTACCTCTGCTTAACAGCGTTCTTATTCACCTCCACCAACTGCAGGCAAGTGCTCCTTATTACTATTCCATTATTTGAAACCACCTTCTTTGGATTTCTATGATTGTTTCAAGCACACACAGCCCTGTGGAGGGAAGCGCACTTCTCTTCAGGCTGGCCACCCCAAGAGTGAATTCAGTCTTGTTTTTGGGTGACGTAAGCCGCCAATTGGTTGGCCTAGTTTTGTCCAGGTGTCTGGCACTGGCTGTTTTGTCGTAATCTAGCAAGTTTTGCCACAGGGCCGTAATTGTGCTCATTTCAAAAGGAGACATGAAAAGAAACCACTGAAGAGCAAGAATTAGGAATCACTAAAAGGGCCATCTTATTGCAATCAATTTTTTAACATTACCTATAGAACTTTAGCTTGTTGACCTGTAGAAGAGACTCAACATAACTCAACTGCGACGAGGATGGGATTCGAACCCACGCGTGCAGAGCACAATGGATTAGCAGTCCATCGCCTTAATCACTCGGCCACCTCGTCTTTGGCAGCCTGTTTTCAAAGGGACCGCCGGACGCGCTGTCCTGACAAAGCAAACAAAGTTGAGCACATGTCAGCTTGGCACACAAGTCATTGAGCAAGTCTACAAGGGGAATTAGCTCAAATGGTAGAGTGCTCGCTTAGCATGCGAGAGGTAGCGGGATCGATGCACGCATTCTCCACAAGGCTTTAGTTTCCTCTGTTCTGTCGATGAGTCAGTGACTGAAAGACGTTAAATGGATGGACAAACTTCACTCGGATGGTGATGGTCTTCTTAGTCCTTCATACCGCTGCCTGAAAGCCTACTTAGTTGCATTGCTCTCTCTGCCTTGTGGTGCACTGTACGTGTGTTCTTCTTCCAGCGGCTGTGGACGGTAACTGGAGTTAGTGCCCCAGCCACCACTGGGCAAGTTAATTCCCTGCAAAACCAGCTTGTCGTCCGCTCTGCGCTTGTACCTCTGCTTAACAGCGTTCTTATTCACCTCCACCAACTGCAGGCAAGTGCTCCTTATTACTATTCCATTATTTGAAACCACCTTCTTTGGATTTCTATGATTGTTTCAAGCACACACAGCCCTGTGGAGGGAAGCGCACTTCTCTTCAGGCTGGCCACCCCAAGAGTGAATTCAGTCTTGTTTTTGGGTGACGTAAGCCGCCAATTGGTTGGCCTAGTTTTGTCCAGGTGTCTGGCACTGGCTGTTTTGTCGTAATCTAGCAAGTTTTGCCACAGGGCCGTAATTGTGCTCATTTCAAAAGGAGACATGAAAAGAAACCACTGAAGAGCAAGAATTAGGAATCACTAAAAGGGCCATCTTATTGCAATCAATTTTTTAACATTACCTATAGAACTTTAGCTTGTTGACCTGTAGACTCAACATAACTCAACTGCGACGAGGATGGGATTCGAACCCACGCGTGCAGAGCACAATGGATTAGCAGTCCATCGCCTTAACCACTCGGCCACCTCGTCTTTGGCAGCCTGTTTTCAAAGGGACCGCCGGACGCGCTGTCCTGACAAAGCAAACAAAGTTGAGCACATGTCAGCTTGGCACACAAGTCATTGAGCAAGTCTACAAGGGGAATTAGCTCAAATGGTAGAGCGCTCGCTTAGCATGCGAGAGGTAGCGGGATCGATGCCCGCATTCTCCACAAGGCTTTAGTTTCCTCTGTTCTGTCGATGAGTCAGTGACTGAAAGACGTTAAATGGATGGACAAACTTCACTCGGATGGTGATGGTCTTCTTAGTCCTTCATACCGCTGCCTGAAAGCCTACTTAGTTGCATTGCTCTCTCTGCCTTGTGGTGCACTGTACGTGTGTTCTTCTTCCAGCGGCTGTGGACGGTAACTGGAGTTAGTGCCCCAGCCACCACTGGGCAAGTTAATTCCCTGCAAAACCAGCTTGTCGTCCGCTCTGCGCTTGTACCTCTGCTTAACAGCGTTCTTATTCACCTCCACCAACTGCAGGCAAGTGCTCCTTATTACTATTCCATTATTTGAAACCACCTTCTTTGGATTTCTATGATTGTTTCAAGCACACACAGCCCTGTGGAGGGAAGCGCACTTCTCTTCAGGCTGGCCACCCCAAGAGTGAATTCAGTCTTGTTTTTGGGTGACGTAAGCCGCCAATTGGTTGGCCTAGTTTTGTCCAGGTGTCTGGCACTGGCTGTTTTGTCGTAATCTAGCAAGTTTTGCCACAGGGCCGTAATTGTGCTCATTTCAAAAGGAGACATGAAAAGAAACCACTGAAGAGCAAGAATTAGGAATCACTAAAAGGGCCATCTTATTGCAATCAATTTTTTAACATTACCTATAGAACTTTAGCTTGTTGACCTGTAGACACGGCAGACTCAACATAACTCAACTGCGACGAGGATGGGATTCGAACCCACGCGTGCAGAGCACAATGGATTAGCAGTCCATCGCCTTAACCACTCGGCCACCTCGTCTTTGGCAGCCTGTTTTCAAAGGGACCGCCGGACGCGCTGTCCTGACAAAGCAAACAAAGTTGAGCACATGTCAGCTTGGCACACAAGTCATTGAGCAAGTCTACAAGGGGAATTAGCTCAAATGGTAGAGCGC